TATGAACGATATTTATTTATAAATCATGCTATAGATTCTATTAATACTTTTTTTTTATTATATCACAATGTGTAATTATTTATCAATTACATAAACATTACATCATTAGTTATTTAATTAACCAAAAAAATTACATCTTTATTAATAAAAAAATAATTCTTAACCAAAAAAATTATATATCAACTAAGCAAACGTGCATTGCATATTGCTTAGACCTAGTGCTAAGAAATGTGTCAAAGAATCGATGTGCCCAACAAAAAATATATAACATAATGAATAATAATGCGAGATACATTGTGAAACAACAAAATAGACAAAAGTACATTGTGACACATGATGTGAAAAAACATGAATAAATACATATATCGACACAAGTAGCACTTGTTACAATACATGCTATAATTCACAAACTAGGATAAGCAATGACTTGAATCTATTTGCATAAGGAAAAAAAGTTTCACGTGTTGTAGGTAATAAATTGCAATTCATGATGTGTCGCATGTAAAGAAATAATGTGCCATTCATACAAAACTAGGCCACGTGTTAAAAAAATTAATATTCTACACAATGTAAATTTTTGACCAATAAAGTCAATTGTGACTTAAAATTTTTTTATTTGTGATCTCGAAATAATTTGTGACCAAATAATTTGATAACCCGTGGCCGAAAATTAATTTTTAATTAATTAATAAAATATTTGTGACCAAATTGTATATGATTGTGACCTTAACAATTGTTGGAATCGGAGCAGTCGTCGGTCGCCGGAATGGTCGTCGAAATAGTCGTCGGAGTAGAGTGGCCATCGAAACTGTCGTCGGAGCAGTAGGGGTGGTGGAGTTGGGGTGGAGATGGGTTAATTATATTATATTAAATTAAATATTTAATTAATTAATAAAAACCCGATTTTTGCAATTTTGAACCTTAGCACCCGATTTTTGATTTTGACAAAGTTAATATGCGATCCATGAATTTTTCCCTTATAGATGTGTTTGACACCCATTTTGGAGAAAAAATAAATTTTGAAATAGTGATTGATGGAAGAATGTGTGGTTAAAAAGTAATGAGAATTTTTAGGTTTATGTGCAATATTATTTTATTAATAGAATGCGTGGTTGAAATGAAGAAAGAGAAAAAAAAATGAGAAAGAGAATAAGAAGAAAATGAGTGTCAAACAGGGCATGTAAATGGAAAAAATCACATATAACCAATTAAAAACAAAACAATTGAAATTCTAGAATTACTCACAGCTCAACCAAAATATACCAATTTTACTTACTCTTCATAAATCCTCAAAATTAATTAAGATTCCTGAAATAACGCTGTATTCAAAACCAATAGAATTTTAAAAACATTATAAACAAGGCTCGTGAAATTGATGATCGGCCAGAACAAGATAGATTTCACCATTGTTATTGATGAGGCTGAGAGGGAGTGCTAAGGTTTGAGATCAATCATGGCCTAAGCTTTGTCCATGGAAGCTGAAGTCTTGAGCATAAAGGCAACAAGGCAGAGGGAAGAAGAGGAAAGGCATCCTCCCGTCTTATTGCATTTTATAATTGCAAATTGTAGACTGAAGTGTGGTTTTAGGTTTGTTTGACACTTCACCACACCAACTCACGTTTCTTCCTCTTATAAGCATCACAACAGAATTAGGACTCACTGCAATGAGAGAGCTGATAAATTTCACTAATCAAAATCTCTTGAACTATTAATCCTCTTCGGGAGAAGGTCGGAATTTATTTGGTAATCCCGGCGTTGTTTTTCATTGCAATACTTGTACAGATGAAAGGCACAATAATTTGCGTAACTTCATTACATGTTAAGAAATGTGTCAAAGAATCGATGTGCCCAACAAAAAATATATAACATAATGAATAATAATGCGAGATACATTGTGAAACGGCAAAATAGACAAAAGTACATTGTAACACATGATGTGAAAAAACAAGAATGAATACATATATCGACACAAGTATCACTTGAGACAATACATGCTATAATACAGAAACTAGAATAAGCAATGACTTGAATCTATTTGTATAAGGAAAAAAAGTATCACGTGTTGTAGGTAATAAATTGCAATTCATGATGTGTCGCATGTAAAGAAATAATGTGCCATTCATACAAAACTAGGCCACGTGTTAAAAAATTTAATATTCTACACAATGTAAATTTGTTGGGTTGATTCAGATTCCAGCACATGTCATGTAACCTAGAATTTAAATTTTCACGAGTATTATTGTAGATAGGGACGAACCCAGCACTCGGTCAGGGGGCGGCTGCGCGTGCTAGTCTCCGCCGGAGCAGTTTGGGAGTTCACTTTGCCGGCAGCCTGGTTCGTCTTCTTCATCCCATCTCCCGTCCTTTTTTTTTTTTTTTTTAAATTGGACCAATTTCTGCTTTTACCTGTAATAATGGCAGTAATGGAGTGAAGTTCCGGGCAGTGGCTGGTGACTTGGTCAGCGGTAGACTTGAAGCCGAAACCACTTGGGCTGGCGGCACCGATCAAGTATTTCACAGTTTCAATCATCTCTTCAAGAATTTACGTGTAGTTAGTTACACGCGAGTGAGCTAGAGAGAGAAAGCAGTACAAGTAAAATTTGATTTTGTACAATTTTTGCAGGAAGAGATAGAGATACAGGGGCTGTATGTATCAACTGGTTGGTGGTCTGGTTAAGAGGTAACGGTGGAGGAAGAAAGTAGGATTATTAATTAAGATAGGATTACATCTTTGTCATTGATTGATAAATAATTATTATTTTTATAGGATTTCACTTTTAATTATTTTACTATTCATTGATGGTTATATCTCAACTAATTAATTCACTTTGTTTGGCTTGGGTTGCAATAACACATGTAAACCTCGTTTGAAGCCTGATCTATTAGTGCGTTTACGTATATATTAAATAAATTTTAATATTATTTAATTAAATATTTATAAACGATCGCTGATTGTCGAGTTGAACTTCAATGTTGGGTCCCTCCCTGATTGTAAGTAGATGGTGACTAATTCTTTGTGGCAAATCAAGAGAAACATCCTTCTTTTTCTTCAAGTGAAACCTGAACATACTTATCTACAATGGTTATAGCCGAATTGCGGCATTATCTTTTTCTTCTTCCATTTCCAAAACCACAACTACTTACTTTAATATAATTATCCTTGTTTGTCAGAATTCAATTTCACAGAACCAAGAATAAATCTTGCAAACAACTTTAACCAGAAAATTAGTTGCATGAATGTGAACTTATTTCTAAAACAGAATATTACACAATGAAGGTTTTTGAGTTCTATTTTGACCAGACACCAGTTATATTGAATATGTGCATAATATTGTACTCAAACTTCTATAGATAATGATCCCAACAACATGCATAAATGAACTCAATTATGGCAAAACATATTTATTGGTTTGTAATCATCAAACCTCTCCTTTTCTTATCCTAATTGCCACTTGGATACCAAACTTCGATTTGATTGTAGCATCATTTTGATCGTCATCAAATCGCTCTATCTTGACATAATCTACGGCAAAATCTTGGAGAGAAGATGGGGGTTGTGTCATTTACAGAACTTCAAACACCGTCTTAAGATTGTTGGTAGAATTATCACAACGGTCGAGAAAAGAATGTGACAAAGTTGGAGGAACAACATCATCATGGGCGGACCCTGGGGGGCACGTGCTCCACAACTTTTGAGAATTTTTTTTTTTAAATTCATGTTTGGTAACGATTGAAATTTAAATCAAAATTAACAATTAATTTTAATAACATATTTCATGAAATCTATAATTGTTTAACTTTTATCAAAATTTACTAAAAATTTGATTTTAATCTCCACCAAACATGGACAAAATCACAATAAATTTGAATTTCGATAACATGCTAATTTTAAAAATTCTCCGACGATCGCAAGCTAATNCGATTAAAATCTAAATTTTAATCTAAATCAAAGTTAACTATTAATTTTGATAATATATTTCTTGGAATTCATAATTATTTAACTTTTATTAAAATTTACTAAAAAATTGATTTTAATCTCCATCAAACATGGCAAAATCACAATAAAATTGAATTTTGATAACAAACTAATTTTAAAAATTCTCCAACAATCGTACGCTAATCGAATCTACAAATTGCTTATATCATCTTAAAGTTTATTTCGAGAACTATATTATGAGCATATCAAATAGTCCAAATAGATATCGAAAATAGTTAAACGTGACTCTTATAGAACGACGTCTAAATCGTATTTTTTTAAAAAAAAAAATTCAATTATTTCATTAACATTTATTATTTTTGCGATACAAATTTCTCAATGTAATTTTCATCATTTTATTAGGAAATTTTATATGGAATATGATATCAAAAAATTTCGAAATTTTACATACGAAAAAGTTATATCCTATGTAAATTTTCGGATGTAAAATTACATGGGGTATGATTTTTTTGGACATAAATTTTCAATTGTAAAATTTCTCCCAACTTCCTTGCAAATTCGATTTTGCCCTCCAACTTTAAAGTTCTACCCCCCGAACATCATATGTATGTTGAAGATCAAACTTGGTTCCAAGCAATGTATTAACTCTTTCCTTTAAGACGATCGATATTTGTCCAAACTATCGGTGATGCACATGGAAAAACAAAATGCCTTCGAGATACAACAGAGTTTGATTTTGTTGTCTGCGTCGTGCACTAACAAAAACAAAATCCAAACATTAAGGAGAAAATAAGCCATCATTCAAGAGACTCATATTCTTTATTTCTAGATTAAGAAATAAAAGCAAAGCGTTTTAAGAAATGAAATGCAAGAATGCAGGAATATATTTTAGGAGGAAAATAAAATGGAGAGTTCAATATTATTCCATCATCAAACCTTGAATCTATATATAGAATTGTACCCAACTATTTCCACAAGTCACGACCATGAAAATGTGACTTTCCAAATGAAATTTCAACTGAAATAAACCAAAAAAACAAGAGATACGAGCAAAATCTGACCTGACCATGAAAATTTGCCAAAAATCACGCCAACGGGCGCCACCACCAAAAGTATACCAAGCATTGAGCTTTCAATCCCATTTGGATCCAACGACTTCCAAAATGACATTGTTGTTAGATATATACCAAATGTATTATTGGAAAGAAATAATTAAATTAGATAAGATAAGATTAGGGCGGTAAATGAATCGGACATGAATCTGATATGTCCAAACTCGACCTGATTCGATAAGAATAATTATTTGATCCGATCCGATAATCCAACGATTATTTGATTGTTAAATTCATGTCTGATTTGTTATGTTATCGGAAATTCGATTCGATAGTCTGATCCGAAATTGAAGAAATTAGGAAGATAAAAAATTTATATTAGTCAACTCATAATCCCTAAAATTAAAATGTCCAGATAGCTTTTTACCCAATTCTTGACCCACCTATTTACATATTGTAAATCCTATGATATTTTAGTGAGTATTCGATGTGGAAAGTATGAAGTTGGGAACAATGAAAGCAACTCCAACTGTTGGCCCCTTTGATTAATTAATTTATAAAATAAATAAATTATTTTATTTCTTGTTTTAATTAATAAAAATTAAAAACTCTCAAAATATTTTAATTAACAATATTATACTATTATCTAATATTATTTATTATTTGAAAATTATGAGTAAAGAACAATACAAGTTTCAAAATTTTAAAAATTATGTGTAATAAATTATGCGATAATATATAAAATATATTATATTATTATAACAAATCGGATCGGATGGACCTATATCCATATTTGTTTCATTTAGTTATTAGGTTATCGCACTGATACCCTAATTCAATTTCTCATTAATTTCATTGGATTCAAATCAAAATTCAATCTATTGACAGTCCTACCTAAGATGATTTTCGAGTGGTAAAAAGTGTGGAATTTTCGGATTTATTATCATTTTTTTTTCAAACTAGCGAGTACACCAATAACAGTTGAAAGTCTCCTGTGTGTGATTTATTGAAATCATAAAATACCTCATAAAAATTATAGTTTTAATTTTATTAGTGATGGAAGTTATATATTGGTAAATATACACAGATTTTGTTCCTTGAAAAAAATATATAAAATAATACTAAAATCATTCTTTCCAATTTCTGTAATTTCTGAAAAACACAATTCTAGTTTTATTTTATTTTTTGAGATATTATTCTAGAGTAATATTGAGCGTTCAAAAAATATATAAAATAATTGCTACACAAGTGAGTCAATCCTATAAATGATTGTCCAAAAAGGTCGCAACAATTTAAGATAGACAGTTTCACCTTAGGATATCACGCTATCACAAATATCGATCAATCGATAAATTTTCTTACCGTCTCCATTTTAATTGTTGTTCTTGAAAGATATCTGCAACTAATTTTATCAAATAATTATACCAATAATCAAAATGACATTCCTACTGAAAATTCTCCAATTTTATGGAATCTTGTGACCTTTGGAGCAACATAATGTCAAGCACGCAAGTAACCTCACCATCAAAACAAAATTCCTTGTTTTATTTCCGAACTCATTTTTAACCACACGTTTTCACAATAACATATGTTACAGACCTGTATAACTCCTTTTATTATGTTAAAACTATACATGATGGCGGAACCTCAAATTTCACGTTGCCTTCAAGCAAGAAAAATAATTAATTCTACGAACTGAGGCAGTGATTCTTCATACTCAAATCTTGAATACCTATTCTCAACCCATTTATAAGAGTGATGATATTCAAATTCACCGGTGTTTTCACAGAATAACATTATTCTATTTATAAAGGTGCTTGTGCATTGCATTTTCCAATAGTTAGTACATATCAGGGCCGGCCCTGGCCCAAGGCTACAGAGGCAGTGGCCTTGGGCCACAAATTTTCAGGGGCCTCACAAAAAAAAAACAACAAATACCCTACAATAGGCCGCAAG